AATCTAGCTGATACCATCAAAATAATTGAAAAGCAATACAGTGCGAAACTAGAACTTGGAACTGGCAACAACTAAACGTGTTTATTCATTCCCCAGTGCTGAGAGTACCTCTAGTAGTTTCTAGAACAACTTCATACCGCGTACTTTAAGTTGGCAAGTTCGTAAAACAAATAAGGCATTTGAATTTCTCTGCCCACTTCCAATTGAATACCCCGACTTGGAGTTTCAAACTCACCGACGCTTTAAAAGTCATGTTTTAAAAGACTGCTAAAGTAAACTACGGGAAACTTTGTTCTTCTGTGATGGATAATAGATGTATTTATTGTTGGTTTAAGGTTCAATATAGCGAGCTCGGTGAGATAACATCTCAATTGGGAAGTTAAGTTTATCTACAATTGATTAAAATTAAAATTCCATCATAAAATATGTATATCAAACATTTTCAAATATGGTACTTTGAGAGTCTGCAATGTTTTTATTATTGTTGTATTAAAAGCAAAAGTATATCAAAGGACGTTTCATGGTTATATAGCTTGATCTAGAAATAGTAGTAATTAATTTTTAAGCAATAAATTAAAGAACCTTCTTGATCCAACTATATTGGCCTAAAATTTGACGTTTACGTTGCTATCGATAATCATTACAATACTACATACATAATAAATAATGGTTATGATTACAACAACTTCGATATAATACATAGTTAGTGCTCGAAATTCCTGATTCCCGAAAACTGTCTAGTTCAATTCAATGAATGACTATAACCACCCATCCATGACAATAGAGAGTATTGTTACTATGTAATATGGACATGGTATCGGGTTTCTTGATATGTGTGAATTATTTATTTATAACATGACATAGCATAACAACACGCCTTACCCCTGAAGGGGTAGGCAGAGGTGGACTTTGTACTACTACTGAGAATTTTTCTAAAAATTCAGTATTACTGTGCCCAAAACGGGATTCAACCTCGAGCCTCCTTGCTGGCCAACAAGGCAGTCATTTATTTATTTTATCGTTATTTATTATTTTAATATTAAAATGAAACATCAATAGAAGAACTTAACAAGTTATTAGCATTTACTTTTACAAATGATTTAATTTAATACTACTCTCTCACACAGTGTCTCTCTTTCTCTTTCAAAGAGCTATGCATTGTACTCAATATGAAACCTATATGCCTACTACAATCTAATAAAAATAGACGAAGACGAGTGCATATTTATAATAATCATAGGATGTTTAATAATTGTTATAGAAATATGTAGCTTAGGACAATACTATGTTAACATAGTCAGTTCAATGTTATTATTATACCAGTAGCACAGACATATAATACTACTACTACTAGACTGAACGTACCTACTCAGGTAACTGTAAATACAGAAATCTATGCTTGAATAATATATATGAAATATTTTATATGTTAAATTTATGTTATATATACTCCTTACAGTTAAGGTCCAGTTATATTTTCCTTAACGCACTCATTAATGCTACTTGTATAAACATGAAACATTGAATCCTTACTAATATTATAAATCGGAAGACGATCTCCGGCCACCGTAAGCGCGGGCCTGCGGACGGCGAGCATGGGTGGCTCCCCGTCCGACCAGAAACAGACCCGAGCGTACGGCGCGTCGCGTTCCGCGCGCGCCTCAAAGGGCCATCAGACCACCACAGATGGGGCCCAATAGGGCCGATGCCGATTCGGAGTCGCGGAGAACCTAACGGGTAACCGGGGCTCCGGCTCGACGTGCAGGAGAAGGAACGGGGTGGTTTTTAGTCAGTAAGAGTCTGACACTCCCTTCCGCCTCACCCAGGCGGGAGCAGTCATTCGATGATTTTCCCCCCTTAAAAAAAAAAAAAAAAAAAATATTATAAATCGGAAAGCTAGTTTGTTTGTTTTTTCCACTTTCATGCCGTAACTACTAAACCGATTGCTTTGAATTTTTGCAGACGTGAAGTTAGAAGTCTGGATTAAATAATAGGGTACTTTTTATCCCGGAAAAATTTGATATTTTCGAGGAAAAACAAAATTATTGGTATAGATGGCGCTGTGTGTATTGGTATATGTAACATAGGCTACTTTTTATCCTTTTGTGACGCGAGCGAAGCCGCGGGTAAAAGCTAGTAAAATAATAAATTGATCAAATATAAAATAAAGGAAAATTCCATGGTTTGTTCGTAACCAATCTTTTACATAACAGGAGTGTTTTTTCTCGAAAGATTAGATATAGGAGTGCTGTAAGTATGTAGATATAGTTGTACTGTGTAACAGAAGTCTCTTATCCTTATATAATTATAATCAAGTGTCTTATCTTGTAGCCTATTGACAGCAATGTTTTTAATTATCACTGCTTTTTAATAAACGTATCCGCGTATGTTGACTTACAATATTTAAAACAATAACACTGATATAAACATTCTAATACTACTATTTAGACCAAGAATGTGGTATGCTCTTGATACTATAACTTCACTACATAACATGTAAAAGATAAACCTCTCGTAGTCCCCCGACATCATTAGAGCGGTTCTGATTGTGCTGGATGCACTGGACACGTATACCCATTGTATTTGTGAATGCTCGTCAGATATGACCCTTAAGCTTGGCTTCGCACAATAGACATAACCTAATTAAAACGGCTGTAAGTAGGCCGCTTTGTATGTCTAGAATATTGAACACGTCACAGGCAAAGCCGCAGCTTATAATTGTTTTCGAGGTCTCCCTACGACATTGTTATTCAAAGTGTGTCGCTCACAAATCGTGGGTCTCTTAATTGCAAGCGTAATTTAATATTTTTCCAAAGACCCATTATACGAACCACCGCCCCGCCATTTGTTGGTATAATGATGACGTACAAGTGCTTTGTGATGATAGAACAACTATTTACTTATCTAAATGTTTCAGATGAGAAAACATAATAATTTTACAGGTGGATGTTGAATAAAAGATTTGCATCAACAGTTGTGAGTTGTTGTTTTTGGTTTAGAAATTAATATGTAATGAATATTTTAGGCATAGTTCAGTATTTTATTATATGAAATAAACCTTAATATTCCTTTTTGAATATACAATCAATTTCTACTTACTAATTACAGATCAAAAAGCATTTTTCAATTCAAACACACCTACAACTAAACAGTTCATAATTGAGTAGAGAGGTACGAGTAAGTGATACAATAAGTTTCCCAGTCGATAGGTTGTGAACATCTCAAAGGCTCATAGTACCTTGTTATCCTCCGTAAATGAGATTAGATATGACGTCACGCCTAGTTAAACATAATAACCTATCTGACTGACACACTTTACCTACATTCTAGTGATTCTACGTCAAACATTAGAGAAACTTCGCCTCGGGACTCGGGGAAGACGATAGAGAATAGTAATAGTTTTACTAGACGATATTAGTTTTAATTCGAGAAATGGCTAGCTAATTGTATTTTTATATTCTTTATTAAACATGTATGAGTTAGTTGAGAAGATTTTCTCAACTTTTTACAATCATTTTTTTTCTTTTTACAATTGAAATGAAATATACATATGTGACTTTTATCATATTGGATTTGTATGATACAAGTTTCACAACCTTTACACTGGTTTCACAAAGCCGTGCACTTCGAGGCAGAAAGTTGCAAGTTGAGCCAAGTGCTGCACGACTCTTGTTACAACTTGCAACAATACATGTATTCTGCATATAGAAGTAGAACTGCCTGGTGTTTTAGTTAGTGACTTGTTATCAAAATATTCTATTTGGTATTTATACGTCAAATTAATTGAAATAATTGCTAAATGTAATGCATACTGATATTATTTTCACTAATCACTATATTTGTATTATAATTTTTGTGGGACATATTAAATTAATTGTTATGTTTTTCGGCATACTTACGTAATTATTTGACGAAGAACTTGATTAGTTTCAAGCCATGCTAGAGGCTCATATTCGTTAGTCGTATTCCTTCATTCATTTATAATGGTGGATGCTAAAAGAAGAAACATCTGTCATTCTTAAAATTGCTGATAGACAGTTCTTACATAATCGTTTTGATTGTAATTGTAGTAGACTACATGGTAAATAAAATTTGAAAAGTAAAATATTTTACGTAGTTTACGATATTTAAAATTTATCTTCAATATATAACATATATATTGCACCTTATCTACATACACTTGTAAATTATGTTTATCTATTATGAAAGGAGGAAGGCATCTAAATGAAAACTGATTTCTTGTTATTATTAAATATCTAATTGTCTTAATTTAATGTAAGCTTAAATAATTAGTATTTCCTGTGTAGTGGTAATGCCACATTTCATACCAGGCATAGAGACACCTTTATATGTATGTGAATAAAACTTGTGTTTACTATACCACTTGAAATTTTATAATGGTACGTATAGGTGCCCTCCGAATGCCATAACTGTGCTAATATACCATGTAATCGTGCAACACTGTCATCCTACGTCACCGTTGAATTCACTCTGGAATTCAGTGTAACGTCACACTTTCATTTATTATAATTGCGGTCACTGATATTCATGAATAGCAAATGAAACAATTTCAATGGTTTTAGAAGCAAGATCTTTTTTTATAAACATTATTCAGATCTACTTGATGAAATTTTCAATTGAAAAATGTTCAACCTTTACTTAATCAAAGTTACAGATTAATTAGATATACTTTAATCACTTACCTCGTTAAAGCACGCACATTGATGCAAATCAATTAGTTATTCAAGACAATTGACGCTATACACAATACGTTTGGGTAGAGTGGACTAAGAAAGGGCGCCAACTTTCGCGCATGCGCCTATCAAATTCAGACTAAAAGACCTCCAGTCACGAGGAGTCAGTCTTCGTGGAGACGTCGTATAGAACGGACGTCGCTCGAACAAATAAAAAATACATTTCGCGAGTGTTGAGACTTATAATGATTCGGTTGGTGGTTCGGATTTTAGTTAGGTAGTAGCGTGCGATGCGCGGCTTGCGCGATGTTAGCTTACGTGGTCGTGGTACTGACAGTGTTGGACGTCTGTGTACCGCTGTACCATCACCAGTTCGCGGTCTTCGTCCCTGGTGGGCCAGAAAAGGCTCACGAACTGGCGCATAGACATGGCTTCATTAATCACGGGGAGGTAAGTGTAGATGGGATGCTGCGGACAAGTGATCTATCTTGCGTTGTTTTTCTTTCATTTCTGCGAGGACTCAGAAAAAGCTTATTGTATGGACGTTATTAATGAACTGTTTGGAGTAGGTATTATGTCTCCATTTATTGTAAGAACGATTTATAAGTACTGTTGTGAGATATTAAATTGAGGAAATAATTATTTGTGTACAGAAAAGTATTATGTTTCAGATGGCTTTTTGCTATGTTTTAAAGTAATCAATTACGTAGTTCCCTTCGTGTTCATAAACGGTTCAAACAGAATTTCAAGTAGTTCTATTACTCGTTGCGGTAATACCGCTTAGATTTAAAGTCTAGATAAAATGCAATAGCTTTAGCGCAGTGCCGGAAACATAAAAGATATGCAGTATTTTCTCAATGGGATAGCTGGGAAATATGTGCAAATCTTATTTTTCTTGTTTTCGTACTAGCTTGTTCCGAGAAAATTTACTTCCTTCTATCAATAAATATTCAAATAAATTCCTTAAAGTTAATAACGTTAAGTTGTCTGAAATGTTATTTAATTTTTCCTTTTTACTTTGAAATTTCTTATGCATAAGGCTTACCTACATAAATTCTCCCTTTTTATAATGCACATTTACGATTCTGAAACAGAGTACATTCAGAAAGTGTCGGTAATTTTGATGATAAATTGCATACTTCTTATTCATGATAAAAAATATCAAACTTGGAATAAAATTATGCTATGATATATTTCAAACCGGCATACGAATTTAAACCAGTCTCTCAGTTTTGACGAATGAAACGGTCTGGTTAATTCACTGAAGTTGTTCACATTTACAAACTTCAAAAGGTTTTACAACTACTGAGTGCAAAATGCAAAAGTTTTGTTACATTTCAACTTTCAAGGCAAACTAATCGTCCCTTCAAGGGAAACTTTGTTATTTCATGTAAATACAGTTAGATTTGGGTCACATGTGATTAACGACCCAAACTACCGCATTTTGGATAAGATTAACCAGCATTAGTTAAAACGATGATAAATAACATAACTTAAAGAAAATAGCATATAACTTTATCACGATTAACATAATCATATTTTGTCATGAACTTAAAATGTAATTCTAGAACATTTTAAGAGTTAAATTATAGGTAAAAGTTAGCTTGGTTATAATGTTTATGTTTTCGAGAACACATATTTTACAAGTCTTTTTCCAATATACTTCTTATTATAACGAAAGATATACATTTTTTTGTCATTTTCCTTCATTCATTCGTCGAGAAACAAAATTTCCTTTTTAGATGATAAAATCAGCAGGAAATCGACTTAGTAAATCAACAGAACTTTTAATGACATCTAAATCTTGGGAAATAATTCAAATATTCATAGATGAAATGATCGAAGAGAAAATAATGATATAATCACAGCTATGTTGCCAAGTCACGATTAGATAAGCAAAATAAATACGCCGTCTTACGGTGGCGTGGAACATTCTGTTTGGGCGGCAAAATTATTCCTGGAGATATCTGAATTTAGAATATTATTTGAATAAACGAACCATAGCGTCGTAACTTTACAGTTCTATTTATCGTGCACGTTAATTCACCTCATTTTCGTTTAATTATTGTTGTAACAGATTTTCTTAGTATTTCTTCTTGTGATCTTCTTAAAATGACATAGAACGATAAAGAATAGAATAAACACAGTGTTTTTTTCAATAAGTAATAAAAACATGAGATAATAATGTAGTAAGATCCACATTGTTTTAGTCGAGATTTGTCCGAATCTTTCCTGTGGGAAATTGGCATTCAGGAACAGATGATGATATCTGTATTTCTCTTCGATAAAGATATTCCTAATTGTCACAATTTTGACTTCACAAAAAAAACCTGTGTTCTTCTAGTTAAATATTAATTTAACTGTAGGTATATTATGTAGTTACAGCGTAGCAGATGTTTTTCTGCAAAAGTTTTCCCCAAGTTCTACTTCAGGCTTATTATTTAACTTTTAAAGAAAAACATCAGCAAAGTTGTACATTAAATAAACAGTGCTCTTAACTTACAAATGGCGTTGTTTTAAGCAACTGAGGCTCTTCTCTTATTACCAGCTATGGAAATATGTGAACCTAGCTATTTGGCGCTTAATATTCTAGACTAATTTTGTTTAAACTTTGTTCAGCAGTTTTCATGCGATTTTGTTAGTAAACCGTCTGTAAATGAAAGGCATAACTCTGATGCTTTTGACTATGAAATGGAATATTTTAGTTACAAACTCACGTAAAGGCTGTATAGTAAATTCCTTTGCCGGTGGAGCTGTTTAAAGTAGCGCGACTCCCTTACTCCCTATTGTCGAAATTAAGTGTTTTGAAATGTTCAATTAAATTTTGTATTAGGCACCTGTTTGATCACGCTTCATTTTTTTGTTTATAAGTTTTATTTCATTCTTTGTACTTCACTATACTCTGTACATAAACCTTTTTACTTGTGATTAATAACATAAGTGGATAAAAGTAGGTGTAGACCTACTCCATTTTATGTACTTCGAACAAAAATGGGCAATGGTATTTTGGTACGATTTTGATATAATTGAGCAATACTCATGTATATATATGTACGTATATATTTTCATAGTTTCCACGAACTACTTACTCTTACTATATATCTTTGCCAATAATTTATATTTTCGTACATCACGTGGGCAGATGAGGAAAATACCCATATGTTCTTGAAACATAATTAATGACACATAGGTAATATAATACTACATCTACTATGTATTATGTTTTGTTTGCTCCTAATGATTATGATTCGTCACTCATTTTTAAAAATAATGGCGTTGTATAAATAAATGTTGATTATTAATTAATATTTAACTCGTGGTCGTTTAAATTTAGGTTGAACCCGAGTCGCGGTGAAAACCATAATCCGTTTTAATTTCAAATGCCATTTTAAGCCGCGGCAAAAATGACAAAAAATCTTAAGGACAAATGACAACATTCGTCCAAAAGGGAGACGAGAGATGATCTTTTCGTGACGTAATCAATTGTTACAGAGGCCTCAAGATAGAGGATTAATGAGAGGATAAATCCCACAATTTATTTTTGGGGTCACCATATTTTTTGTAAAAGAAATGGTTCGTATTTTTAAGTCGCCGGAAATTAATATTTCCGAGAGTCTCGGCTTAATATTATATTTTTTAGAGAAATTAGATTTTCTCTGAAAGTATTTGCATATTACGTTTTTGTCTCATGGGTAGGTGATATGAATTTTTAAACAGGTTGGGGACATATCCGTGAATATTAGACCGATCAGGTAGGCTTTTTCCAATTAATAGATTCCTGGAAATTGTAATACGAGGTCTGATTTGTTTTTAAATTCGTTGCCAAATAATTGGTTATATTATAATAGACGGTTAAAGAAAAGATTTTATGTGGGAAAGTGACATCGCGTATGTACTTATATGAATTTTCTAGAGAATAACACATTCTAGAAATACACGTGTGTTTACCCGCTCGAGGCTTGGCTGAGCAGCCACACATTGTAACTGTTTGAAGGTCAAAGGTGATGTTAGTGGCACGTGCAAGCATGGGCGTCTTACATAATATTTTCTTTAGATGCACATATGCTGAAAAGACGAGACTTCATGGAACTTGGCTACCCAAACTCCTAGGCTGGCCTCGAAATAAGAGACTGATCTCTTAATGGAGAGATTCGTCTACAAGTCAAATGACGTCCAAAAATTTGCTCATGGTCAAGAGACCGACATACAAAAAAAAAAGATGCACATAAATTTATAAGGTTTTTGCAAGTAATTAACAATTAATATTCATTTTATATGAGATGCAATTTTACAAAATATAACTTTATAACGTAATATCATGTTTGAAATTCTCTAGCCGCCGAAGGGAGATCAATGATTATTTACAGACAGTAACAGTATAATTTTCGCAACGCACCATACATCCTTCATTACAGAGAAAATACATAACATAACATCACGCCTTTTTATCCCCGAAGGGGTTGGCAGAGGTGCACATTTCGGCACTTAATGCCACTGTACAATGTAACTATGTTATGAGTCCCATGTAATAAAGGGTGAGCGTATTGTCATATCTCTCTCACTACTACTGAGATTTTTAAAAACCCAGTAATACTTTGCCCGACCCAGGAATCGAATCCGAGACCTCTTGCCTGGCAGTCGCACTTGCGACCACTCGACCAACGAACAGTGAGAGACAGAGAAAATAATTAAATAAAAAATTTAAAACCCCTGTCTTAAGCCGGGGCCTCGTATTTTATAGTCGCACTTGCAATCAAAGTGGGCCACTCAAACAAAATAAAAACATTCCTATCCTAATAAGTTCAAATAATATGTCAGTGAGACACAATAATGCTCTTCAGTGCCTTTCTCACGTGAATTGTTTACGTTAAGATGGGTCCTATTGAAACACCAGAAAACAATAGTCTTATGACACAAGCCTCCATGCCACAGACGTCTTGCTAACAAATTCTGGTATAAACTTTATCTTTCTGACACTCCATTGAATTAATGTTCGTGCTGACGTTATCGAATAGAACTTCATTCTGGAATTAGGAAGTCTTATTTAATATCTTTTCTTATGAATTTAGGTATAGTAAAAATATTGTCGCTATCCGACATTATCTATCCTTTTTTGAAGACTTTTAAAAGCGAGTAAGTTATTTAAACCCTATCTTAGTATTTTGTACTTGAGTGGTTGTACAAATTCCTTTTTGCTTTCCTTAACACATCTACATTTTACACTCTTAATTCTTCTTTAACTCAATGTTGATCTTTGATGAGCTTAGAAAGAATATATTTCTAGCAGTTGTGACATTTAAAATGTAGATATTTGGATATATACCTACAAAGGCCACATAGCTGAACTGTGCCATATTTAAATTCAATGTTTAGTAATTAACGAGTAGAGCTTATCATGACACATTTGCTATGCTAACATAATTGTGGGCCTACAGTCTGTCATTATAATG